ATTATTCTGCTACATCTGAACGCTTCATTTCTGAATGAACATCCAGGTCATGTTTCCGTAACAGTTGCACCAGCAGTCCTACTCGGTGGGACCCAGTAACATTTCTGTATCGCTTTCAGCACGCCACAACCTGCACGGCGTCACGTTAACGGATATACACGATGGTACCTGGAGTTTTGTGACACATTTCAACACTGATGTTCGTCCAAAAACATCACACAGAGAGCATAAGGCAGCGACCATGTCAAAGTCAACACCTTTCTGGTTCAGTTTGCTCAACAGTTGCACATCTATTAGGCTACAGGTGAAAATTTCCATAAAAATTAAACTTTTGTGACGAAAACAGAGTGACAGCGAACAGATTATTGTTCTTTTATTTATTTATTTCAACAAACAAGTTCACTTTGGAGTCTTTCCTCTGAGTTTCTTAGATACCTGCATCATCAAACAGCAGCAGGATCCACATGAACATGCATTTCTGCACATAGAACAACAGAGCTGGTGACTTCATCAATTACTAATAAACGTAAATAATCCCTGACATGGAGACAGGATCGGTCCAGGTCACACCATGTGCTTTTCACACTGTCAGTGACATGATGCTAACAGACTGATGAACCTTACGCTTCTCATGTCTGAAAGGGTTACAGACTTGTCAGCCTCCATTAATTAGCAGCACTGTAGGAATGAAGAAGGTTTCAAAAACCCAGTGTTGGTCACTTTTTTACTGATACAATAAAAACGAGTGGACGCCATGCTTTGCTCTAAGGATTCCAAGCCTGTCATTTTTTACCTTCCTAACCATTCCTCATGTGTCAGTCGAGCTAAGAACATAACACACACCCCTCCCTGTCTCTCCCCAGATCATGAAGGAAGTTTGTCGAGCTCTGGGTAACGCAGCTGCTGATGACAGTAAGTTATTGCTGCTCAGCTCGGTGGGGACTGTTTTCTGCAGCGGCCTGGAGCCGTCCTACCTGATAGGACGTCTGTCCACCGACCGCAGGAAAGAGAGCAGCCGCATCGCGGACGCCGTACGGTAAGAGGAAATCTTCCGCCACAGACACCGACTCTTTCATCGCTAGTCTCGACCGAGTCTGCACTGATTGTTCCGTGACCTCTTTAGGGACTTTGTGTTGGCATTCATCCACTTCAAGAAACCCATTGTGGTGGCAATAAACGGGCCTGCGCTGGGCTTGGGGGCTTCCATCCTGCCGCTGTGCGACGTGGTGTGGGCCAGCGAGAGAGCCTGGTTCCAGACTCCGTGCGCCGCCCTCCACCTCACCCCCTCCGGATGCTCCTCCTACACCTTTCCCCAGATACTTGGCGTAGCTCTGGTGAGTCCCCAGCAGAAAAAAAAAAAATAAAAATCAAGGCTTTTGGAAAATTCCACTTGATCTAACCTGACAAGTATTTTCCCCTGATGGCAGGCCAACGAGATGCTGTTCTGCGGCAGAAAACTCACAGCGCAAGAGGCTTGCAGTCGAGGTCTCGTGTCACAGGTCTTCTGGCCAACCACGTTCAACCAGGAGGTGATGCTGCGTGTGAAGGAAATGGCATCGTGCAACGCGGTGGTAGGTGCCTGATCGAGACAACGCAGAGGGCAAAGCAGCCACTTGAACAAAACCTAACTCGCCTCTCACCATTTCTGTGTGTGTCTAAAAGGTTTTAGAAGAGTCCAAATGCCTGGTGAGGAGCATCCTCATGTCGATCCTGGAGGAGGTGAATGAGAAAGAGTGTCAGATGCTGAAGCAGCTGTGGTGTTCAACCAAAGGACTGGAGGCGCTGTTCAGCTACCTGCAGAACAAGACGTATGAGAAGTAACCATCCACGGTGTGGGTCTGAGGCTACCTACAGAGGGGCATCCAGGGTGACGACGCTGCGATCTCACACTGCATTTAGGGCCTTTGTTTCCATCCATCAGCAGAGGGGACTCTCTGGAGTTATGCTTGCTTACATCTCTAACAACAGAATCAATTCCTTCATGTTTTGTAGAGCAGCTTTTTTTTTTTTTTTTTTTTATTGGACCCTCAGCTGTCCAGATGTTTATTCTCCACATTTAAGGAGTCAAAGAGCAAAGGGCCAAATGTGCGTTGTTTAAAAAGCAGGGAGGGTACAGAGTGCGTCTGTACTGAGACTTAATCATCAGGATGCGTGAAATCAATGTATGTCTGAGTGCACATGATAAAGCAGTGATAATATATATTAATATATATTTATTTCAAGCGTGTAAAAAGAGTCGCTTTCTGTACATAAGATGCATTTTTCAGGATTTTCTTTTTAGTCGCTTATCGTCGAGTCGAAGTGTCAACCAAAGTTTGTCGTACGGACAGTGTTGCTTGCTCTGTTTTTAACTTGCACATTCCCTCCTCTCTCTGTATGGATTGAAGAAAAACTTGTCAGTGGATCCAAACGATTGAAGATCATAAAACACTCGTCACACAGTTCATGCTTCATACTGTCAAAGTCTTTGTTTTCATGATCGAGATGACTTTGCTCCTGGTAAATGATATCAAGATTAACCCTGCATACGTACAAGCAAAAATCCTCCTCATACCCGTCACCTAACATTCATCTGTCTTCTGTTCTTTTCACCTGGAAAAGGTACAGTTCACCGTTTATTTAATGAAGTCTGATTGAGGTCGAGATTTCTTTTTCGGATAAAAATGCTCCTCAGTTTTTGCAAATCAGAAAAACAAGTAAAAAAAATAAAGAAGTGTTGATGTCTCGTGTGTATACTAGCGCTAAATGTACATGATTAAATGAAACGACGGCACATGTTGCAGGGTGACTCATTTTAGCCTCACATGCAGTCCTGTGATGGTTCATATGTAGAACACGGCTTCCACTTATCAATACACATAGTTATGGTGTGAAATGTGTAATTGTTTTTTGGGGTTTTTTTTGGAATAAGAAAATGTTGTTAATGCCTGACAGCGATTTCTTTAGTATTTTTTAGGGCACACGAATAATAGCTCGGTCCTCAAGTGTCTTCAACTGTCAGTGAACAATGTTGTAGAAACGGAACATTTGTGTAGCTGGAGTCAGATTTCGTCTTTACCTGCATGTCATGATTCGAGATTTCCAGAAAATTTTCTATTGCAATGTGTATTATAATTAGGGATCTATTTTGTTTTACCGAAATGTAAATGTATGTAGGTCTGTGTAAATTGTTTTTTGTAAAACTTGTCCATTTTGCAGCTCAGAATAATATATATATAAATATATATAAATATATATAATGTAGACTGTTTTCTGTAACTAATTGCATGTAATATACTGTATAAATGTGTTGCCTGTCTGGGTACCTTGTATTTCGGGGTATGTTTTGTACCAGCATTGTAAGTATTGGTAGAAATGTCGCTGTTTATTTTTCTATTTATTTGAGATAACTGTTTGGTTGTGCAGTGCCATGCGGTTTTTTCTTTTTTTGCTCCAGAGGCACCCTGAATCTTCTAATTACCCCTCCCCACAAAAACTTGGACGAGCAAAAAAAAATGGGTCAGATGATTTTAAACCAAAATGTGCACACTGTCGTCACTTGAACTCAATTTTTGTTGTAAATTATCAAAGGCATGTCAGATAATTTAATATATATTGTGTTTTGCTGAGGTTTATGAGTTTATGAGTAGGAACTGACGGATGAACTGACCTTCGTTTTATTTCAGATCGATATTTTACGTTGTTAATGCGCCATTTTTTTCTCAAATTAAATCGATTGCTGGGGATAGTTCATGGTTTAATGAGGCATTTTTAAATCTTTCAGCTAAAATTAACAAAAAAACAGCAGCACTAAACTTCATGACAAGAAAAACCCTTTATAATTTCCTTGAATTCATCCTACCTTGCTGCAAGAAGCTCAAAAAATCTAAATTGCCATCTTCTCAAGTTTGTGAACCAAAACCTTATTAGGCTTATATCATCAGTCAGCTTAGCGATATGATTATTTTTTTAGCGAAAGGGATCAACTGTGTTCCCCCGTTTCATAATAACATCCCCAGTTCCTGCTTTGTGAAAAATTGAGAAGGACTCTTGTGTGATGCAGCTACTGTACAGCGTCCGTGAATGAAAGTCACTCAGGTCCTCTGAGCGTTAATCACACTGATCTTTAAGACGTGTATTTATTCACTTATTTATTTTAGATTATTAAATATTCTTTTCAGCGTGTCGCCCAAGATCGATGTTGTTTTGAAAAATTTGGTTTCTCTTTTAGACTCCAGATCCAAATTCCCACCTCAGCATGTTTTTGTTTTTTTTTTTTGAAGTGTGCTTGATGATGAATTTCAAGTAAATCAGAACTTGAACGTGTTTTTGCTCCGTTATTTATTACAAATGACAGGACTAGGAGAGGTTTCTTTTGTTATTTTTAACCACCATGTCTTGTGTGTGTGTGTATTTCATCATTCATGTTGTGTTTTTTTTTTTCTCCCTGCGTTGTCTGAAAGCACACCTTGGGGTGCCTTACAATTTAAATATCTGTACAAGGTCGATCCATACGTCGTGATGGGTAGAGTGAGCTGCTTCCAATAAAGAAACAGTACTTTCACAACATGTTTTTTTTTTTTCATTTACGTTTGTGACAACACTAATCTGGCTTTCATCTGTAGCCTCTATTCATTTCCACAACTAACCCAACCTCACCCAGCAATTAGAAACCCCTGAACGCATCTTTGATTTGGTTCTCATTGTCAAGGATTTACTAAAATTATTTCCTCAAAGAGCCGGTTTGCCTCCCAGTGGGAGCATCAGGATCTTTCTGCATGGAGTCTCCATGTTCTCCACGTGCAGTGTGGGTTCTCTCCGGGTTCTCCGGCTTCCTCCCACACAGTCCAAAAACATGTTGAGGTTAATTGGTGATTCTAAATTGTCCGTAGGTGTGAATGTGAGTGTGCTTGGTTGTCTGTCTCTAAGTGTAGCCCTGTGATAGACTGGTTACCTGTCCAGGGTGTATACTACCTTCACCCTAAGTAGCTGGGATAGACTCCAGCCCCCCACGACCCTAGTGAGGATTAAGCGGAGTATAGATAATGGATGGATTTGATCAAAGATGCTTATGAACATGCAAAGTCCACTCACGCTCGATTTATCTCTCTCTTTTCCTTAAAGATGTGTAAGACTTTTACTTGTCATGTCACTATTTTGGGGCTGCAAAGTGGCGCAGTTGGTTAGCACCGTCGCCTCACAGCTAAAAGGTCGCCAGTTCGCGTCCCGGGGAGGACACCCGGGATCTTTCTGCATGGAGTTTTCCCACCTGTCCTTCCTCCCACAGTCCAAATGATGATTCTAAATTGTCCGTAGGTGTGAATGTGAGTGTGCTTGGTTGTCTGTCTCTAAGTGTAGCCCTGTGATAGACTGGTGACCTGTCCAGGCTCCAGCCCCCCGCAACCCTAGTGAGGATTAAGCGGTGTATAGATGATGGATAGATGTCACTACTTTGCCACCGCATAAAAGCAAGAATGGACTCTTACACGACTGATAATTTCACTTTATTTGAAAAGGATTAATCCTGAATCAATATGATTCCCATTTCAAACAAACTTTCAAACAAAAAGCCGGCGACTGTTTACATGAGCACCGAGAGTCGCCCTCCCTGTTTTCATGAATAGTTTTCAGGTACCAGAATATTCCTGAGGGGTCCTGCAAACAGACACAATGGTTGGCTGAAAGAGTTTTGCTAACAGCTACACTAATCTCTTTGATGGAGCAGCGGCGTGTGGCTAATAGAGGGCAAATAACTGATGATACCCAGAAGCAATCTTTAATCCTAAGTACTACCTGCTGTTGTTTTTATGCTGACCTAAATGCTTTGGTAACACTGTGAGTTTCAGTCTGTGCAGATGATAAAAAAAAAAAAAGGTCCATAATGTGTTTTTCGGGGTTGTCGTTGCAGATATATGATCCCAACAAGTTACTCATGTTTCTCTCAGATCTCATTATAATAGTCATAAGAAATAATATATAGTAATAGCACCACCTTGCACGAAGTTGATGTACATTTTTACACAATACCTGTTAATGCCACTACAACCCACGCTACTTACAAAGAAACTCTTCCTCTATCCTGCAGCAGAAACAGCAGAGAAAGCCTGTTCCACAGTGTCATGCTTAATTCAGTGTCCCAGTATGTTTAACTCTCAGCGCCAGTGGCAAAGTGACAGCACAGTGTCCTTCAGAGACGCTCCTTGGGCCCTTCTTTCAGCCTCTTTCTCATTTCTTGTGCGTGCTGCTTGCTGCGCTCTCGCTTTTCCAGTCGCTGTTGCGCAGTAAGGAAACAAAGAAAACACTGATCAGGAACAAAACAAAGCTCAGTCGTCAAGGTGCTTGTTGTGTCTTATTTACAAAGGGGAATAAAAAAAAAAAAGAGAAAAGTAACCGACCTCCTTCTTCAGGCACTGTCGCATAGCACGGTCCACATCGTTACACGTGCCGAAGAACTTCATAACATTGTGCTGGAGGTAACATGAAACAGAGAATTACACATTGCTGGGCTGTATTTGCGTGTGCGAGCAACACAAAGAACTTGGAGAGCGTCGTACCTCCGTGTGGCACTGCCTCAGCTGAGTTATTAGTTCGTTACACTCATCCGTGTGCAGGTGAGGTGACAGGTCAGGGTGCATTCTGAGTTAAGGGCTTATTGAACCACCGCAGTAGTGCTGGAAACCCACAAATAAGACAGGTGCTGAGCATATACAGTACACACATCTTAAAAGTTTTAATAGAGAAAAAATGCCAGTACGGCTGACCAATATGAAAAAAATAAATCATATTGCAAAGATGATGTGATATGAGCCACAATGTTAGTGGAAATGGTCATTTTGGCTCAGTGGTTAGCATTGTTGCCTCGCAGTAATCAGTCACCGGTTCATGGTAAGGACACCCGGGATCTTTCTGCATGGAGTCTCCATGTTCTCCCCGTGCAGCGTGGGTTCTCTCCGGGTTCTCTGGCTTCCTCCCACAAGGTCCAAAAACATGCTGAGGTTAATTGGTGATTCTAAA